GATATCCCTACTTCCACAGCCTCGTCTGAATCTGGCTTGAACCTCTGACAATGTATTGTAATAGTTTTTGAAATATCTTTAGCAAAAGTTTACCAGCACACAAATTAATGATATTGTCTGATGATGTTCACATTCCATTGGATCACCTCTCTTTGGAATAGGAACATATACAGCTCTCTTCCAATCAGTTGGCTAAGTAGCTGTCTTCAAATTTCGTGGTCTAGATGAGAGAGTGCCTCCAGTGCCTCCATTTGTATTCCATCAATTACCAGAGCTTTGTGCTTTGACAATGCCTTCAATGCACCTTGAACTTCCTCCTGCAGTACCATCGGCTCTTGATCATATGCTTCCTCTTGAAATGGTTGAACATCATCCATTTCTTTTTGGTACCATGACTATGTATTACCTCTTCTTGTGATGCTTTCTGCAACATTCAATATTTAGCACACAGAAGCCTTCAGTATTGCAAGTCAAAGCTTGAATGTTTCTCTTCATTCTTTCAGCTTAAGAAATCCTGAGCATGTTCTTTCCTTCGGTTTTCTAACTCTAAATCTTTGCACATTTCAATATAATACTTGACTTTGTCTTCTCATTCCTTTAAATTTTTTTCTGTTCCTCTCTTTTACCTTCTCATTTCTCCCTTTGCTTTAACATCTCTACCCTGGAAAGTAAGTTTCAGAGTCTCTTCCAACATGCATTTTGACCTTTTCTTTCTTTTTTGTCTTCTTAATGACCTTTTGCTTTCTTCCTGTCTGATGTTCTTGATGCCATCCCATTACTCTTCCAGTCTTCGGTCATTAGTGTCGAATGCATCAAATCTCTCCTTGAGATGATCTACAAACTCAGGTGGGAAATGTTCAAGGTCATATTTTGGCTCTCATGGATTTGTTTTCATTTTCTTCAGCTTCAGTCTGAACTTGCATATGAGTAATTAATGGTCTGCTCCACAGTCTGCCCCTGGCCTGGTTTTGCCTGATAATATGGAGCTTTTCCACCTTCTTTTTCCACAGATGTTGTCAATCTGACATCTGTGTATTCCATCTGGTGAGGCCCATGGGGATAGTTATGTTGTTTTAAAAGGGTATTTGCGATGAAGAAGTCATTGCTCTTGGGAAATTCTACCATGTGATCTCCAGCATCATTTCTATCACCAAGGCCATATTTTCAATGACTGATCCTTCCTCTTTGTTCCCAACCTTTGCATTCCAATCACCAGTAATTATCAATACATTTTGATTGTATGTTTCATCAATTTTATACTAAAAAAAGTTGGTAGAAATGTTCAATTTCATCAGCACTGGCTTCAATGGTTAGTGTGTAAATTTAAGTAATACTGGTATTCACTGCTCTTCCTTATTGTTAAGTACCACTGAGTTGGTTCCGACTCATAGCAACCCTGTAGAGGGTTTCCGAGGAGCAGCTGGTGAGACTGAACCACCGACCAACCTTGTGGTTTGAAGTACAGTGCTGATCCTACAGCACTACACCAGCAGTCCGATCTTCCTTATAGGTGTATGGCTAGTATCCAATTGCAGACAGCATTATATTTCAATACAGATCTTAAAATGTTTTTCTTGACAATGGACACAAAGCCATTTCTCTTGATCATTCCCGGCACAGTAAACCATATGATTGTCCAAATTACAATGGTCTATAACAATCCATTCCAACTCACTAATGCCTAGGATATCAATCTTTATGTGTTTCATTTCATTTTTGACAACTTAAAAATTTTCCTAGATTCATACTTACTACAATCCATGTTTTGAAGAATCATGGCTGTTCACAGCTGTTTCTCGTCATTTTGAGTTGTGCCCATCAGCAAATGAAGATCCCGAGAGCTTTGCTCCATTTGCATCACCACAGTCAACTCTGCTTTGAGGAGGCAGCTCTTCCCCAGTCGTGTCTTGAGAGGGTTCCAACCTGCGGGGCTCATCTTCTGGTACAACATCTGACAATATTCTGGTGCTGTTTATGTTTCAGTATTCAACATTCTGCTGCTATTTGACAGTGTTCCACTGCTAGTCATAAACAGGCTAAACATTCAGAAGTTATCCACCTCTCCTCCGTCCTAGTCTGTCTTAGTCTGACAGCTCAGCTGAAACTGTTCACCTGGGTATACTACACCCTGCTGGTATTTAAAATACAGGTGGCATAGCTTCCAGCATCACAGCGACATACAATCAGAGTACGACAGACTGACAGACAAATGGCAGTGAGTCAGTCTCAGATGCCAGAACTGCTGTTTTGACACGGTGACCCTTGAACCCTAGAAACTTCTCAGAGCAGGATCTGTTGCTGTTGCTGTCCAGGGTCGTCAGTTCTGACGTTAGCGACCCTGCTTAGGGTTTCCAAGGAGTGACGGGTGGGTTTGAACCACCGATCTTATGGCTAGCAGTCCAGTGCTTAGCCTACAGCAGTACATCAGGACTCCTGAGAAGGATTACAGAATCGTAAACATTGCCTTCAGACACACATCGACCTTGTTGTTGCCGCTCCTGTTGTTAATAATTAAGTGTCATTGAGTCAGTTCCAACTCAGGGACCCAGAATAGAATTTCCGGTAGGTTGAAACTGCTGACCTTGTGGTTCACAGTCCAGTGCTAATCCTACAGCGCCACATCAGGAGTCCTGTTTAGACCTAAAGGGAGGACAAGTCAAGAAACAATCGCCTCCCATTCTGATATTCTATTTAATAAAGGTTGCTGTGATTCTGTAGCAGTGGTTTTTGATTTACATTCATGTGTATACGTGTATGTTGTACATGTTTAACGTGTGTGTACATATGTGGGTATACACATATGTACGCTGCTGCTGTGTGGTGCAGTGAACTCTAACAGGTCTATTGTGGCCTTACTCTTTGTAATTCCCACCAAACGCTTCTTTTCGTAGTGGGTCTAAAGAACAGGGAATGAGAGAAGACACGGATAGGATGGCATTAGTCAGCTCGGACAGTAGCAGAATTCATTGTAATTGTCAACATTTTAAACTCTAGCGTGGTTATAAAATGAGCCATCTTAGAAGCTATGGGTGGGCGGAGATTTCATTCCCATCAAAGACAGGGAGCCAAAAGTAGAAGGCATCCTTTGGACCCCAATGTTCCTGCACATTGACCCTCCTCGACCCAGGGACAAAAGTCATGGTAGCATCAGAGGAGGGTCAGCGGTACACCAGCAGCAGAACCAAGAGCCTGAGCCTGCGGAACCAGGGAAGCTGAGTGACGCTGGGCAGGAGGCCTGCTTGTAGAGCGGGGCACCTCCAGGGACTTGAGTGGGGGGAACCGAGTTTGCTGACCCATGGAGCCCAGTTCCTTCAGGCTGAGGTTTATAGTGGAGGGATGTAGCCTGTGGGCATTCAGTAGCAGCTGACTGGGCCAACCCTGCCCTGAGCATTTCGGACCCCAAACTGTAACGTGTTAACTTCCCTAATAAACCCCATAACTCTGCAGAGACTGTCAGTGTGGCCACTGCAATGAGTTAGGGAACCTAGCTGAGTCCAAGGGGGGCTGTGGTACCACACGTTCTGCGGCATCGACTGACTCACAGGGACCCGTGAGTGTAGAGGAGAACAGCTGGCAGATTGCCAGGTCTGTGCTTTCCAAGACAACGCCAGGCGGGGCTGAGCAAATGACCCTTCTGCCACCCAGAGACTCTACATACATACATTAGCCTATAATAAAGCATTTTCTCAGTAAGAACTGTTAGTCCACTGAAGCCAAGAGCTGCTCAGACAATTCTGACGGCTCCTCGCCAGACACCCATGATTCCGTACCAGGAGCACCGTGTGTGCTGTGCCTCGGGTTGGCCACAGCCTCAGAGTTCCGTCCTGGGATGAGGAGACCAGCCACTCCCCACTGTGACTCCAGCTGACCGCACTCACTGGCCCATCGTGACCTGGAGGGACATAGAGGCAGCAGGCCCAGGCCTGACGTCAGGAGGGAATGCTAAGGGCTGGTCTCACCTAGCAGCTCCCTAGAATGCGCTCAGAACTGCATTTCTTAAGTGCATTTTCTTAAGTAATAAACAACCGATTTGGAACGCAGTGCAACTAGACCCCAGTGTAAAGGACTATGAGCTGTGACCAGTCAGGCATTGGGGGGGTGAGGGGAGACAGACCACAGAGGTGATGAAGTCAGAGGGGGGCCACAAAATGACAGCTGATGAAATCTTGTAAATATCCCTGTAGCTCATGGTGACAATGAAGACATTTTCCTAAGCCCAGCGCACATGTATTGATGTGCCTACAAGGCTCAAATTCTGCGGGTTTCCTTGTTCAGCCTTCTAAATGTGGTGCTGTGGGTTAATGCGCCAGACTGCAAAGCCTTTTGAACTGCAAGGTCCGTGGTTCAAGCTCACCAGCCGCCCCTCGGAAACGCTATACAGGGTCACTATGGGTCAGAACTGACTCAACAGCACTTAACAACAACAGTGCTCTAGGAGTCCTGGTGTGGTGCTGCGGGCTAATGTGCTGGACTGCAAAGTTGTTTGAACTGCAAGGTCCGTGGTTCAAGCTCACCAGCTGCCCCTCGGAAACCCTATACAGGGTCACTATGGGTCAGAACTGACTCGACAGCACTTAACAGTAGCTCTAGAGCATGAGCACTGGACTATGAGCCACAAGGCAGTGGTTCAAGCCCACCAGCCACTTCTTGGGAGAAAGATGAGGCTTTCTGCTCCTTGCAAACCCTACGCAGGGTCACCATGAGTCAAAATGACTCGACGGCACTTTACAGCAACAGCAATGTGGTCTCGTAAGTTCTGGTATCATGCTATAGGATAAGCACTGGGCTACAAGCCACAAGGTCAGCAGTTCAAACCCACCAGTTGACAGGGTCTCTCTAAGTCAAAACCGACTCTCCAGCACTTAACAGCCACATCCGGTCAAGTAAACTGACTCTCCGGCACTGGACAAAAACAACAACGTGCTCTGATCAGAGGTGTCATTATCGTCAATTAAAACGACACTTAGAATTGTGAACTTTCATCTCCACACACTATGACGGCACACTCGTGTTGGTGGTGGTGGTGTTTCCATAGTCACTAATTTTGTCTAATTTTCTGGTGTTTCAGCTACAATATTGTGGTAATTAGTGCTCGTACATCTGTATCAGAAACTTTTTTGAGAATGAAGTCATCATTACAGGAAAAGAATGAAAAAATCAAGAAAAAAGCTTCTACTCAGGTACTGATAATAAAACGAATCATGCTGTGCTTCAGGGTAGGTTTTACCATCCAATGTTGCTGTCAGGATTCATATAATTTAAGAAATCCTACATTTAACCAGTGTATTTCACCTCACATACTATGGGATTAAATGATAATACAGTTATATGTAAAGTATTGATCATGTGATTTCCATAACTGTAAAGACCACACAGGGTGGCATGTGACCTTCTCTGGCTCCACAAGTGGGGAGGGGGTGAATGAACCAGCATCAGCCCCAGGCCACTCCCTATGGGGCTGGATCCAGCCATGCCTGCAGCCTCCAGCCTTCCTGAACTGTGATGTCAGACAGCCGCCTACCCACAGCACGCTGGGTTCGGAAATGTATGACAACAGTCCAGAGACCTCAGAAAGCAGGCCCCCGGTAATGGGGTTTGGAGATGTGAGCAGACTGCAGCTCAAGATTCAAAATGCCCATAGTGAGCTGATTCAGTCTGGACACACGTACCCTCAGGAAGGCCTCTCTCTGGCTCTTGGCCTCAGCCCTGCTCAGGCAATGTCACAAAGCACCTTTTGTTGTTGTTGTTAAGTGCCACGGCATAGGCTCCGACTCATAATGACCCTTTACAGGGCTTCTGAGGAGCAGCTGGTGAGCTTGAACCGCTGACCTTTAGGGCTGCCAATAAATGCCCAGAGGGCACTCCATTCTGCCACAGTCCTGAGCACAAAGGCACGCAGCTCTGCCTGCCCCGTGGGCTGGGAAGCACACCGCTCTGCCTGGTGCTCTGGGTGTCACACCATCTCCTGGATCCAGGAGGTCAGCACACAGTCGCCTCTGTAGCTAGGACGTGCTCCCCTCCTGGCTCTCCTGTCCTGATGGCAGGGATGGTCACATTAAGCAACCCCCAGGTTACAGTTCCAAACTTCTGCCATCACAATGAAGTCTGTTCACAATCATCCACAACTGAATCCTATGATCCCATCGGCATCTTCTCCCACCTTCTCATACCCAGACCCATCAGAAAAGAAGAAATACATTCAGTCACCATGGTCCCAAGGAGTCCTGGTGGCACAGTGGATTACAAACTGGGTCAGCAGTTCAAATCTATCAGTCTCTCCAGAGGAAGGAGGTGAGGCTTTCGGCTCCCATAAAAATTCACAGCCCCAGAACCCCTATACAGGGTTGCAGTGAGTCGGAACCGAATCAGTGGGACACAGCCACCACCACCACCACCACCACCACGGTCTCACTCCACTGTTTGGTGGGAGTTACAAAGACTATGGCTACCAGACCCATATTAAGGAATTCACCACAGCGCAGTAACTAAACGGAGAAACTGATGGTTTAAAACAGGAGGCTGACTATCTTAAAAAGCTGGAAGTAGAAATACCATAAAAAGTTAGAAATAGCAATCTCTTGTTGTTGTTGTTGTTGTTGTCGTTGTTGTTAGGTGCCATTAAGTCGGTACCAACTCAGTGAATGAACAAAACATTGCCCGGTCCTGGGCCAACCTCACAATTGTTGCCATACTTGAGTCCATTGATGCTGCCACTTTGCCAATCCATCTCGTTGGGGGGTCTTCCTCTTTTCTCTGACCCTCCACCTTACCAAACATGATATCCATCTCCAGTGACTGGTCCCTCCTGACAATATGTACAAAGTATGAGAGACAAAGTCTGGCCAATCCTGGCCTCCAAGGAGCACTCTGGCTGCACTTCTTCCAACACAGATCTATTGGTTCTCTTGGCAGCCCATGGCACTTTCAATATTCTCCTCTAACACTGTAACTCAAATGCATCAATTCTTCTACAAAATTCCTTATTCACTGTCCAGCTTTCACATGCATATGAGGTTATTGAAAATACCATGGCTTGGGTCAGGCGCACCTTAGTCCTCAAGCTGACATCTCTGCTCTTCAAAACTTGCAGAAGTTCTTGTGCAGCAGATTTGCCCAATGCAAGGAATCCCTTGCTTGGTATAAATTCTAAAGAAATGAGAGCTGCAACACAAACAGATATATGTACACCCACGTTGATGAAGGCAGTGTTTATAATAGTAAAAAGATAGAAAGGCCCAAGTGCCCATCAGTGGAAGAATGGGTAAACAAATTATGGTCCCTAAACACAGTGAAATACTGTGCAAGGTTAAAGACCAATGATGAATCTGTTAGACACCCCATGACATGCACAAACCTGGAGAACTTATGCTAAGGGAAATGACTCAATCACAAAAGGACAAATAGTGTGTAAGTCCACTACTATAAATATTTGTCAAGAAAAGGTTTTCACACTACCAGGAGGGGATGAGAAAGGGAGAGCAAATCACTGGCTAGATGGTAAACACAGGTCAACCTGGGTGAAGGGGAAGACAATAAACAACATGAGAGAGGACAACAAAGCATGATGGAGCCAGGGAAGACACTGGGCAGAGTGCAAACATCAAAGGCAATGGAGGTAAACACTGTTATGTCCACGGTCCTGCAATGACTGTGGCCTGTGTGTGGACGCACGGTTAGACACACAGTCTGAACGGGAGTGGGAGGGGAAGTGGGACTATAGCCCCAGGTAGAGGCACATTGGACAGAGGATATTTCCGCATTGACATTTACGTGTGCTGCAAACGTACCCACGAATGGAGCATAGAAAGGACACAGTTATGAAAACTTTACCAAACTCCTTGAGGGAATGAACGCCTGGGAGTGGGACTCAGCACCACAGTCTCAGGGACAGCAAGACCAGGTGGCATAATGGAGTCCTCGAAGACAATACTCTACACCCTACTTCAGTGAGTAGTGACTGTGCTCTTAGGAGCTCATGAGAAGCCATCTAAGGTGCAACTTTCTATCTCTCCCTTTCCAGAGCAAAAGAGTGGGAGGAAAATAAAAGTCCCATGGAAACAGTTAGTCCAGTGAGCTAACGGATCAAGCAAACATCAGCGTCCATCACCCTGAGACCAGGAAGAATCAGCTGGTGCCCACCTACCACTACCGACTGGTCCGAAACAGATCACCAGAGGAGGTCCTAGACAGAGCAGGAGAAGAATGGTAGGACAAAAGTCAAAATCATAAAGAAGAGCAGACTTACTGGCCAGACAGAAACTACTGGAACCCTGAAAACGAAAAAGGTGGCCCTCAGCCACCCTTCAGGCCTGTTAACAACAGACAAGTCTATAAAAAGAACACCACCACTCCTTAGACTAACCAACCATTTCAGATCAAAAGGGCAGTACTGACCCAAGGACAAACTCAGAAGGGATCGGAAAGGAGGGTCACGATGAGCCGGACCCGACTCGACAGCACCTCACAACAATAACAAACTGCAAGATAATACATTTTGGTTTGTTTTTAAAAAATGAAGTAAGTGAAATACTATATTTCTTGATACATATTCAGAAATATAACTGAAATCTTAATTCCTTTTGTAAAATTCTAGTCTTTAAAGTGTCTATAGAAATTATGTCTTGCAAGTACATATCTGGTGTTATTGAAATTTACAGCATTTAAGTTCGATTTACAGTTTTAAAAAAATAGTGACCCATTAAAATTTAAATGTGATTGTTGTTGTTGTTGTTGTTGTTTTGTGCTGTAGAGTTGGTGCCGACTCATAGCGACCCTGCACAGGGAGGGTTTCCGAGGCTGTCAATCTTTACGGGAGCAGAAAGCCTCATCTTTCTCCCACGGAACCGCTGGTAGTTTCGAACTGCCGACCGTGAGATTAGCAGCCTGAATCGT